TGCTGCCTTCATAATGGGAGTTCAAGACTCAGACAACATGATAGGACAATTTTTAAAGCACTATTCTGCAAGAAATGTGAATGTGGTGGTTAGAATTTGCATAAATTAGATAGCTTCCTGATAGCCATCTGAATGGGAAAAGATATTTGCATATTATCAATTGGACAAAAGCTTGATAACTAACCTCTACAGAGAACTCAACAAAAAAAAGCTAACAATCCCTTATGTCAATGGGCAACTAAGATGAATAGAAGCTTCTCTAAAAGCTTTCTCTAAAAGTGCTCATTGTCACTAATTGTCAGAGAAATGTAAATCAGAACCATCCTGGAGATATCACCTAATCCCAGTGAGAATGACCCCCATCACGAAACCTCAAAGCTGCAGATGCATGGATGTGGACAGGTGGGACTGCAAACTAATACAACCTTTCTGGAAAGAAGTATGGATCCTTAACTCAATCTAGATCTCCCATTTCATCCTGCAATCTTGTTACTGGTCATCTACCCAGAAAAAAAAAAAAAATTATTTTATCATAAGGTCATTTGCACTAGACTGTTTATTGCAGCTCAATTTACAATTGCCAAATTGCGGAAACAACTTAAATGCCCACCAACCCATATAACAAGCTGTGGTATATGTATACTGTGGAATGCTATTCAGCCACTAAAAAAGATGGAAACTGTATATTTTTTGTATCAAGCTGGATGGGGGTGGAACACATTCTTCTTAGTAAAGCATGATAAGAATAGAGAAGCAAGAACATGGTGGGGATATGGGGGAGTGCAGAGAGGGAATTAGGGGGTTGGAGGGGCTACAGTGTGTGACACACCTCTTAGGGGTGGGACACAATTATAAGAGGGACTTTACCTAACCAACGCAAGGAGTGTAACCTGGTTTTTTGTACCCTGAATGATTCCCCAACAATTAAAAAAAAATCAGCTTCCTTTCAGAAATATCAAGCCAATTATTTATTTTTAGTGTCTTCGAATAGACTTTTTTTCCCCCAGACCTTGAGTCTCACTCTGTCATGTTAGGTGGAGTTCTGTGGCATCATAGCTCACAGCAACCTCCAACTTTTGGGCTTAAGCAATCTGCCTTACCTCCACCTCCTGCACAGGTGGGATTATAGGCACCCACCACAATACTGGGCTAGTTTTTCTAGTTTTAGTACAGATGAGGTCTCACTCTACTCAGGCTGGTCTCAAACTCCTGAGCTCTGGCCATCCACTGCCTTGGCCTCCCAGAGTACTAGGGTAACAGATGTGAGCCATCACGCCTAGCCCAAGTAGACTTTTTTAAGCAAACATTTATTTGGAGCCATATTTAGCTTTATCTTAATCCACATTTCTAGAACCATAAGGTCCATACCTAATTGTGAAATCTTAATTGAAGGTTAAAACTTGACTTGGAAAAAAGGATACTTGGGCTCAGCGCCTGTGGCTCAAGTGGCTAAGGCGCCAGCCACATACACCTAAGGTGGCGGGTTCGAATCCCCAGCCCGGGCCCGCCAAACAACAATGATGGCTACAACCAAAAAATGGCCAGGTGTTGTGACGGGCGCCTGTAGTCCCAGCTACTTGGGAGGCAGAGGCAGGAGAGTCGCTTGAGCCCAGGAGTTGGAGGTTGCTGTGAGTGTGAGGCCATGGCACTCTACCTAGGGGGGATAGCTTGAGGCTCTGTCTCAAAAAAAAAAAAAAAGAAAGAAAAGAAAAGAAAAAAGAATACTTGGAGCCAAATACATATTTGCTTAATTGCTTTCTAGGAACTAAAACTCTGAGTGGAGGGATTGAGGTTTTTTCTTCTAGGATTCATTGCATATCTTCATATAATTGGTGCTTATTTTGGTGGAATCTTAAATTTGGAGCCCTTTTTTCTTGATTTACTAAAAAAAAAAGTACTGCCAAAAATTCTTAACCCCCCAAAAGGTGGTGGCATACTTTTCTATATGACATGTGTTCTTACTACTTAAGGCTTGGTCTCTACTTATATTGCTAAAAGTTGCTAAATCATTATGTGATGGACTCCAGATAATGGAGATGTCCAATAGTATCACTTAGGATACTTTGTAAATCTTCCAAGTGAGTGTGGGCTTTTAACTGATGAAATTAAATGAAGCAGAAATGCAATTTTGTGAATACCAAGTTTCTTTGTGAGTACCAATGAATTCCTTTAGGATTTAGGTCAGTATACATTTGAGTGTAAACATAAAGTATCTGAGGTACCACAAATAACGGAGCTATGAAAATGGGGCATAGGAAGAAATAAAGCAAGAAGTCCTGGCCTGGCTATTTATGTTTTATATTCCTGACGGGCAAGATTCAACTGTATTTAGATGATGAAGAAAATGGAGCACCAAGAAAATAGAATATGATTATGGAATATGTATATATTTTTAATGAAGGTTTATACTTTGAAGTTGTCAGCAGCACTCTCTAATGCATTCTTTTCTAGGTATTCCTATGTTAAAGAAGACTACATAGGAATCAGAGGCCTAGTCTCAGGGAAAGGGAAATATTGTCTCTGTTGCATTTTCTAATTTCATGAATTTAAGTCATCAACACCATATTTTTTAGCGAAAATAGAAATACAAGGTTTCTCATGAGGATTAGAGATAATGAGTGCAAAGCATCTATTTTTAATTTTGTTGGTAATTTTTACCTGCTCTCTCTCCATGTAGTCATTGTGTACACACAAAATAAAGTCTGTATCTGCTGTCTGTGAGAGTTTAATTCAAAGTTTGTTGTTGCTACCACTGATAGTACTAATAGGTATTTTCAATTAACATTTACATTACAGTTTACTTACAGTTTTTAAAGTATTTTCATATATATTGTAAAATTCTTATAGCAACTCAGTGAGAGGAACAGGATGATTATGTTGTTTATTTTACAGCTAAGTAAACTTTGACCCAGAGGTGTTCTATGACTTAGAGAAGATCAATGACTAAATAGTGAGAAGGCTGAGACTAAAATTAGTCTTTAATTGTCTGCCTTGATCTATGGCACCAAGCTTTCTGCCATGTACCGTATATATAAGTAATAGATTAAGGAGGAGTACAGTTAATTCACTTGGTGGACCAGGAAAATTTTGTAAATCTTTATCAAATGCCTCAATGAAATCAAGTCTCTTGTGAAATCTCTGTAGACAAGAGAGTAAAAAAATAGTTTTGGTGGCTATGCCCTTGGGGTAAATTCATGAATGGTTTGGTAACCAGGGCACGGATTAGCCTTATGCTGAAGAGAGTTTTTTAGGGCGTGCCAAAGAATTCTGTCCTTAGCCTTACTTCTTCAACATCTTAAGTCTGATTTATATATAAACAGACTGATCAAATCTTTGGATGATGATACAGAGCTTTTAGCGTAACTGTATTTCAGATTTGCTCTTTACTTTCTTTAAGCTCCTACTACTTTCCTGCTCTTCAGTCAAAAGAGTGCCATCAACCGCATGGTGATTGATGAACAACAGAGCCCTGACATCATCCTTCCTATCCATAGCCTTCGGAATGTCCGGGCCATTGACTATGACCCACTGGACAAGCAACTCTATTGGATTGACTCAAGACAAAACATGATCCGAAAGGCACAAGAAGATGGCAGCCAGGTAATTCAGGGCTCAGTTTATTTATTTATTTTTTTTGTTGTTGAGACAGAGTCCCAACCCTGTGCCCTGAGCAGAGTGCAATGGTGTCGTAGCTCACGGCAACCTCAGACTTGCACTGTGGGCATCCCGCTGCCTCAGCCTCCGGAAGCCGCTGGGATTACAGGTGCTCAGTATCGTGCCCGGCTGGGTTTTTCATTTTTTTTTTAGGAGTTGGGGGTCTCAGTCTCATTCAGGTAAGTCTCAAACTCCTGAGCTCAAGCAGTTCTCCCTCCTCAGTCTCCCACAGCGCTGAGATTACAGATGTGAGCCACTGCTCCCAGAAGGGCTCAGTTTAAAATCCATTTCTTCTGACTAGTGACTAGACTAATCAGCCATTCTATTTCACTTAAGTTTTGACTCTGCTTAGGTGTGCATGTGTGAATGAAACTAAAATTCTTGACCTAGTAGCTTTTCTTCATCCTGGTAATCTTTTCCGTGAGTAAATAGTTGTTTGATGATGATACTGGAATGAAAATTTTGTTAGGATACAATATGCTGTCCTAAGGATAACTTATGCACTTACATTGGTAATGATTTTGTCACTGCCACCCTTGTTTACTTAAGTAGTTTTTCTTACTCCTGTCCTTTCTGGAGTCTTAATTTTCCATGTGTGTTCTTTTCTTAGGGCTTTACTGTGGTTGTGAGCTCAGCTCCGAATCAGAACCTAGAAATACAACCCTATGACCTCAGCATTGATATTTATAGCCGCTACATCTACTGGACTTGTGAGGCTACCAATGTCATTAATGTGACAAGATTAGATGGGAGATCAATTGGAGTGGTGCTAAAAGGCGAACAAGACAGACCTCGAGCCATTGTGGTAAACCCCGAAAAAGGGTATGTTACTAAAGCAGCATTCAGATAGCATGGCATCTGAGACCCTCCTTAACCTTCTTTTTTACCCACCTTTAAGTGTCCTATGCCCCAGTGAACAACTCGATGTTCTATTCATTCATTTGCCCCCTGTATTTTCTTAAACTTTCTTTTACTTTCTCTGATTTCACTGCCTAGAATTTCTTTTCTTGGTCACTATTGCTTTAGTTCTAAATCCTACCCACACCTCTACGATCATTTCAGCTGCCACATCATCCATGAAGTTTTTCCTAATCTACCCCACCTCCTGCCAATGTGACTTCCCCTCTCCTGAAAACTCAGCACTCTGTATCTCTGCCTTTCTAGTTACACTTAGTCCTTTTTAATTTGTCTTATACTATTTTTCAGTTTTATATTTCCTACTAGATTTTAGATTCTTTCACAAGAACTAGTATGTTTTCTTTCATTTAATACAGAGCTTTACATTTGATAAATATATAGTACTCCGTTGTACCTGAATGACTAGCTTGCTTCCAAAGACTTACAGGAGCTTTGCGCAGTGGCAGTATTGTAGCCAATGAGGTTTATCGAAAGCACGATTATTACTAATTGAAAACTTTTCCCAATACCCTAACATGATGACTTGAAATGTAGTCGGCATTGGCAATTTTTGACAGTCTCTACAGAGATTGAATTAAAAAAAAGAGGAGACTTATAGGAAAAGGATTAAATCTACAAGTTATAAGAAATGGTTCATGTGTGACTTATTTTTAGGTACTAAATAGATTAATTAGAAAAAGATTAAAAACTTTGTGTACAGGTCTCTCTGGTCATTGATCTTTTATTTAATGTGTTAGTCTAGAAATATAGGTATGCGTGTGTCTAACACAGTTCTATTAATCTATAAAAGCTCCCAAAGAACCTCTGTGTACCTTTGTTACGATTTTTGAAAAGTAATAAAAGTACCTCATAAACTTTCTTAAAAATGTATTTCAAAACGTTTATAAATAAAATTAAAAAATACTATGCTAACTTTGTCTTCATCAACAAGAATATTTGCAGATCATGTGGCTTCTTATCTTAGTAACTTATTTTTTCTTCCTTTCTCTTTAGATATATGTATTTTACCAATCTTCAGGAAAGGTCTCCCAAAATTGAACGGGCTGCTTTGGATGGAACAGAACGGGAGGTCCTCTTTTTTAGTGGCCTGAGTAAGCCAATAGCTTTAGCCCTTGATAGCAGATTGGGCAAACTTTTCTGGGCTGATTCAGATCTCCGGCGAATTGAAAGCAGTGATCTCTCAGGTACCCAAGAAATGTGTTTCTTAATTTTGATTTAAGATCATTCTTAAGAGAATTTGTATTTTTCTGGAATGGTATGATTTTTGTATATGCTTTTTACTGGTTTTATTTACTAAATGTAGTCAGCATCAAGTTTGTGGGTGAAGTGCTTTTTCTTTAGCCATCAACGTGATTATTTCTCCTGTTATGTAATTATTTGCCAGTTTCCTTGATCTTGGCTCTATAAATAATATGTTTCTAACGTATCTCTTCTCCTTTCCTAATTCTTGTGCTCTAGTTTATGTTCTCATCATCTCTGCCCTGAATTCTAACCTATGATTGATCTCCTCCTAGTTTTTTCCCATGGAAGTTTATGCATAGCTCCAAAATTTTTCAAAACCTAGTTTTAATGTCATTACTTTACTTAAAAAATCTTCAGGGTGCACAGTGCCTATGGCTCAGTGAATTGGGCGCCAGCCCCATATACCGAGGGTGACGGATTCAAACCTGGCCCTGGCTGAACTGCAACAACAACAGAAATAGCTGTAGTTCCAGCTACTCGGGAGGCTGAGGCAAGAGAGTCACCTCAACGCCCAAGAGCTGGAGGTTGCTGTGAGCTGTGATGCAACAGCACTCTACAGAAAAAAAAAATCTTCAGGGTAATCTCATAACCAGTAGGAAAAATGTCTAGTGGTACACATATGTTGGTATAAGTTGGTCTTCACCTTTTACAAACTTATTATGGCCTTTAATTCCTGGTATTTTAACCAAATTAAATCATTTGTGGGTCTTAAGATAGATTTTTACTTTCTCATTTTCTCTGCAGTTCTCCATCTGTAATGATAGTTAACTCCCTTACTACCAATTTCTTATGGCCAGATATTCTGTATGGCCTCATTAGTGATGAGGGATATTAATTAAAATACTACACTATTTGTGTCTATCAGAGGGGTAAAAATATGTTAAAGTTAGTTATGTTCAGCATTAGCCAGAATGACATTCTCTTATCTGCTGTGGTGGAAGTGGACATGGGTAGAACCTTTTATGGGGGGCAGTTTGCCAGTAATTATCAAAATTTATAATATGCATTCCCTGTGATCTAGCAGTTTCCTTCTTAGATTGATATCTTACAGAAATACTGACTCAAATATATAAGGATATTCACTGAGCATTATTTGTGATAGTCTTTTCATGGAGAAATACATTCTAGTATATCACTGTATGGAATATTACAATCATTCTTAAGAATAAGATAGATCTGTGTGCAGTGACATAATTCAGCTTACTGAACTGATTTATTTTTGCCATCTCCTTATAAATAGAATATTGTTCATTCACCATAAACTTGTCATCTACAAACCAAGCAGCTCTTTGTCAGTCAGTTATAAGCTGTTATGGGGTACTGTCCAAGTGAAGATAGAATCTGGCAGCTATTCAGAGTCAGTCCGAGGGAGAAAGAGACTTCTTGCTTGTATTTTCTCTTTGCACTCCCCAGGTTGCACGATTTTGTATAAACCATTTCCATTTTATTATGGACTCTTCGGGCACTGCTGTCCCTATTCAAGTGTTTCTCTGATAGCACCCAAGACAAAATGGGTATTTCAGGTTTCAGGATCATTTTAAGTCCTTTCATCATGGTGGCAGCTTTAGTTAATGTACACAGCAAGATAATAAGTACCCTTCAAGTGGAAAGTTTTTAGTACCAAGTCCCAGTGATTATTGCTTAGAGACACTCACAGGCTTTTTGCCCAATCCAGTAGTTTAAAAGGCTTACCTCGGCTTGGCGCCTGTGGCTCAAGTGGCTAAGGCACCAGCCACATACACCTAAGGTGGCGGGTTC